GACTGCTAGATCTTAAAGGGGTTCTATATCAGGGGTACACTATTTCCTTTGACTTGAGAGCCATGCTGAAGCCAACTCTTAACAGTAAGTGACATTATGATACAAAGTAGACCCGATTTTGTGTTGGGGGAATAAACATTGCTCTTTAAAATCACCCCAGTTTTAAAAGAAACCATGTCATTAGAGCCATTTACTCTTGGGTGCTCTGGAGTCCACAAAGGATGTGCTGGCGAGCTGCAGACAGACTGTAGATCACTTTTTTTTTTTTTTTGGTCCTCTTGCATGCCTGTTTATTCAAGATGTGGCAAAATAAGATGGGCAGATGCTGAAGTGCTGAGCTGCCCTGAGAACAGCACAGCTGAAGCAGTGAAAGGGCCAGCAAGGGAGGGTGCAGAATCTGTTCCAGCAGTGCCATCCCTCTTCATTTTAACACTGGGGTGATTTTAAAGGGCAATTTTTATCCTCCCCACCCTAGATCTTAACCATATCAAATCTACAGATGCACCTGATTCCAATTGTGGAATTCTTTCTCTGTTCAGTTTGACTTGGCACCAAGTCTTCTTAAATGTCAGCGTTACTGAAGACCTACCTATTTAGCTAGTTTTTTTTTCCCTGCGTTATCATTTCGTGTGTTGCTGTTATTTGTATTAAGCTGTTTCAGCAGTTGTAACTTCTTCTGTTGGATATGGTTTTATTTGCTTGTTTTACTGTATCCACTTTGGGATTACTCTGAATGCAAAGTAAGCAAACAATACTGTATAAAGTATATCACCCCCATACCCGGCTTCCTTTGAGGTAATAGGCAAAGAAACAAGCTTGTGCTCACAAGGATAATACCCAGCTGTGTGCAGGTAGTTTTCAATTCCTTCTTTGCAAAAAATCTCATTTATGGTCTGACTGTTCTTCACTTTGACTGAATCCAGAGTGTATAATATATGATTTGCTGAAGATCTTACATCTTACCTGGCTGGGTTCCAAGAGGGATATGTGAAAATCTCTTCCTAGATTTTACAGCCACCCCCTTACTTCCATTTGCAAGAAGCGTAGAACAGGTACGGCTTCTGAGGGAGAGCTAGGCTTAAGTATCCGCTCACTCGTGTTGCTCACAGTGATTTGAGTCCAATCACGTTTTCACAGCCCAAAGGTCCCTGCAGGATTGTTGCTGTGGTAGAATGTCAGCCCTTCAGGGTCGATCAGACTAGGAATCCAACGTCATGTAGACCAATACTACTTCTATTGTAAAGCTGTAGTAATAGAACCTTGCAAACCTGAATGTGCTTCCCCCCCCCCCTCCCTCCATCTTTGTGAGAACTAGGGTCTTGTCTGAGGCTTTTACTCAGGTTACGTTCCTGCCCTGGACTCAGTCTTTTATCTGACCATTGTCTTGGTCACGGCTCTTCCTCTTGTCTCTCAAGGCCATCTGCCCTCTACATAAAATGAGGGGAGATCCCCATAGATGCATTCTCAGAGCAAAGATGGAATTTAATTGCAATAAATAAATTGGCCACCTCTCTTCCTGGAACAATGGACTCTTCTGGCCCCCAAGATCTGTGAACTCGTTACCATTTCTGCCCAGCCACACACGTGAGATCAAGCAAAGATGGTGGCACTGAGCAACCGTCCTCTGCTTCTCAAGAGAGCCCTCAACCTGTGCCCGTCTGTACTGAACAAAGGCTAGTCCTGTCATCAGTGAGCTTTAATGATTAGGAAGGCTCTTTGCTTGACTGTTTACAATACTCGCTACTATTATTTTAGGATTGTTCAAAAGATTTTTCACTGGCAATTAGCAAACCTGTTAAATCAACATTTGCAAAATTTTGCTGTTGTTTTACATCTGGCTACTTGCTTTTCCTTCCCAAGATCTTACATGACACCAAGGAGCTCCAAAAGGAGATTAACAGCCTCGCTGGGAAGCTGGACCGGACTTTTGCTGTCACTGATGAGCTGGTTTTTAAGGTAATGGCTGGGGATCAGAAGTGGGTAGGGCAATGAAGGGGCGCTTTGAAGAAGTTAATTTCTTCCCTCCGTCTCTTTCCACAGGATGCCAAGCGTGATGAGGCTGTCAGGAAGGCATATAAGTATTTGGCAGCTTTGCACGAGGTGAGAGGTTTCCTATAGCAATAATATGCAGTAGATATTTGTGAGGATGTGTGTGAGAGAAATGTATTATTTTTATATTGCCTCCAGGAGGCTGCCAGGGAAGGGTCAGATATCTTTTAGAGAGCACCAAATTGCTTGCTTGTAAAAGGCACTTGAAAATAAGTTGTGGGCCACAGGTTGCCATGCTCATGCCATCCTTCAGGGAAGGCATGCCACCCTTTGAAGACAAAGCAGAAGTCTCTTTGCCGTGAGCCCTACAAGAGAGCTGGGGCTGCCCAGCTAAGAAGGTTGGACAATGAGGCAGGCAGTCCCTAGCATAGTCCAGCTAACAAGGTTTGAAACCAGGATCCTGATTTGAGCCTGGTAAATACTTTGCAACTGGGTATTTCAGGACTGGCATATTGGAATCTTTGTACTGAGTACTGCTTAGCATCCTAGTTGGCATGCTTTGCATCAGTCAGTGTTTCTGGACAGCTTGAAAGATAGTCCTACGGAACACAACGTCATCATAGTGTGAAGGCACATATGTGATATGGGTATGTAATCTTGCTACATATATGCTTTACATATGTACCTTTGCACACATAGTCCCACGCCTTGCTAAGAGTTATCTTGTCAGATAGCCAAGATGGTTCACACTGCATCATACCTACTTGGGACCCTTCCCAGCTGAAGCTGCCACTTCTGCCTCTCCCTTAGAATTGCAGTCAGCTGATCCAGACAATTGAGGATACAGGCACCATCTTGCGGGAGATCCGGGATCTCGAGGAGCAGGTGAGTCTGACTTGAAGTGTAGGTGGCAGCAGGAAACTGTTATGGCTTCACACAGAGTTATCACCCCTTGTACATATTTAGAATTTGTCTGGTTTCAGTCCTTGGCTACCTGTTCATTTCATTCTTTAAAATGAAAAAGCTGTTGAGCGGTTGCTCTTTAGTGCAGAGATACCTACCCCTCTGCCTTCCCCATAGCTCTTCTCATGATGTTCTGTCTCTCCTTCCTCATTTTTGTGTGAGAGAATATGCGTAAAAGCCTCTGTAAACAATATGATGGATTTCACTAACGATCTGTTTTACTTTGTGATCCTGCAATCTCCCAATATGTTCAACTGAAATTGGGAATAACATTCAATATCCTTGAGGTTTTTGAAGTGAAAAGCCCAGTCTGTTGTCATAGAGCCAACTAGTAAAAAGCTAGATTTCCTCTAGACCAGAAGTGGGGTTTTGGCAGCCTGATGAATTCCACTTTTCTCCCCATTAAGCAGGAATGAAATTATGACCCCAGGAACTGGAGCTTCTCTCTTTATATTTTGCAGTGTATGTTTTCTGCTTCTTGAGAAATGATGCCTCCTATGCAGTGTTATACAACAATGCTTATTAAATTGTTTTAAATTTGTCTATGGCAAAGGGTCTCAGACTTTTTTGGTTCATAGCACCCCTAGCAGTTCCCAAACTGGGTGCTGCAGTGCCCCGGAGCACCACAGCAAATGCATTAATAGTTCCATTTATTAAGTAGTAAAATATCCCATGATGCCCCTGTGAGTTTGCTATGGTACCTGGTGGTGCCATGGTGCAGAGTTTGGGAACCCCAGGTTTAGGGTTTTGGTATGAATTCTTAACATACCCTGATTTAGCAAAAAAAACTAGGCGTAAAAGTAAAAGCAACTTAAGTTTTTTAATAATTTTGCTAACCCTTGATTAGAACAGCAGAAGTACAGGAAGCATTGGTTGTTGCTTTTTCCCCTGATAAGCATTTGCAATTTTAGGTACATGGCTAGCTTGGCAATATTACAGCGGTCCTTCCAAGGCAGGCGTGGGCAAATCACAAACTGTATACAGCCTCTAATTCCTCTTTTTGCAACCCCCAAAACTCTGACTGCTAAATTTTGGTTGCAAGCTACCAAAAAGCTTGTGGTGGTGGTGTCAAAGTTATATTGAAAAGCTGTGTAAATGACCTTTGGGGTGTAAGATCATCAAAACCAGGAGCAACATCCCCATCAAAAGTTTGGAAATGCTGGTGCTGCCCACTTGGCTATTTAACAACCCTGCCATTGCTGCACACGACAGCTGAAGACAGTCATGCCAAGAAAAAAGTTTAAATACAGTTCCCCATCAACTGAAAGGTTCTCCACCTCCCATTAGATAATGGCTCAAAATTCCGGATATCCCTGTCTTCATGCTTAAAGCCATAATAAGGATAAAATGATAAAGATAAAAGTATGGTTTTAGAAAAGCTGGCTCCTTGTGTGAAAGTTGATAATTTGGGGACCTAATGCCGTGATTTTCAATATTTTTTCAGAAGGCTTGATAGATTAATTCAGCATTATGGTTTGCAGAGTGTGCAGGCACGCCTTCAGTCTAAAATAATGGCCCCACTTGTTTGTCTCCCCTTTCCAGATTGAGAGTGAAACCAGCAAGAAAACCCTGAGCAATTTGGAGAGGATCCTTGGAGATTATCGGGCCATAAAGCAGGAAAATACAGCACTGCTCAGCCATTCCCGAGAGACATGAAGATCCTATCCAGATATGCAGTTCTAGGGTGGTTTGGGGGCCTGGCCAAGCTCACTTCATTGAGACTCTACTGTGCCTCTACCCAGGAAGAGTGGGGAGAGTGAGCAGGGCTCATTCTTCCAGGCTCTGCCTAGATTGCAAAAAACAGCCAAAGTGCAGCACATTTGGGTCAAAATGTAGACCCCTTGTGCCATCCTTCCGACATAGAGTCTATACTGGAGAAACAGATATGCAATGGGGACATTCTTTCCTCCCTTTATTATTTCAAACCAGCCCCTTGTTTCTTTTCTCCTAAAAAAAACAATAAAATTCCCTTTTTCCTTTTTTTTTTTTTTTTTGCTTCAGAATACTAGGACAGCTGCTGTGAAGTGACACAAAATTGTGGTGTGTGGCTAGTTTAGGCTGCCTCTGCCTCAACATGTTCTTCCTCCAAATTTGATGCCTCTGCTGCCATGGCTTGGAAACAGGATTGTGCACACTGGTCTCTTTGTGTGTGATGAGGGAGAGTCAGCTCAGCTCACAGTGGTTCCTGGGAAACCAGAAAAGTGGGGAGCAGTGTTCTTGGCTGGCCTGTTGGTTCCAATGGTGCAACAGAACCACCTACTCCTTGGTTGAACAGAACTGGGTGTGGATAAGTAGCACAGCGCTGGTTCCTTTTCTTCTGGTACTCAAGTTCATCCACCGTCCAAACAGCTCCCTTGACATTCTCCACACGCACAAAGCATTTGTGCAAGCTCAGGTTGTGTCGGATAGCATTCTGTGGATTGAAGAGAGACAATGACGCTTAAACTTGCATTCTTCCTAGCAAGAATCTTCATTTAGGCTGCCTTCCAAATCTCCCACCTTCCTCATGCTTTCAGCAGGCAAATATTCCAGTGCTCTTTTTACAGTCTGGTCTTAATGCTCCTTTATTTGCTCTTCAACCCCTTAACCTCGGTCTATTCTGAAGTTAATTTCTAAAGCAAGTCTGCTATAAATTGTTAGCTGGAATATGCTTAGGGACAATTACAGAACTAGGGAATGTTCTGTAACAGCAGCTACCTTCTACTGAATCAGATCACTGGTCTCTCTAGCCCAGCGTGCTCCATTTGGATTGATTACAGTCCTTCAAACCAAGAAATGCAGTTGCTTTCCAGGCATGCTATCTAAGACTTTGGTATCTAGCACCATCTGCGTGCAAATGTGATCTTTCACTCTTGTCCAGGGTGGAATCAATTATCTTCAGTATTTCTGAATGGTCTTTTCTGTAGAGTTCTAAGTCTAGCCCACCTGTTTCATGGTATTACTCCTTTCCCATTATATCTTTATATTCAATTTCCAACATGCTTCGTACTCTGATCATAATCAGTTGGGTTTCTGTTTCTGTGATTTGCTTACATTTTGAACTGAAATACTTATGGGAGGCTTTTTTCTGAAATCTGAAGTTAATTCAGGCAGATCTTCTTAGTTGTAATCCACCTATTTCTTACTCTTTTTCTGTTACTTTGGTCTTTCCTGCCAATTTCAAATGGTAGCACCCCTTCCCCCACAAACTTCAGTTCTAGTACTACTTCATCTTCGCTCTTCTGAGCTCAAATCTGAGATCAGCTCACCTTCCAGGTAGGAGTGTTGTGCCTGAAGTAGCCAAAATTGTTGAACCAGCGGTAAATCTCATTTAGGCTGAGTTGTTTCTTGGGAGATTCAAGGATTGCCTGCAAATCATAACATCAGTTCTTCATAGCGTAGCTCTTTGTTGAAAGGGTCATTTGTGTGTGTGCATTTGTGTACAAAGAAAAGCTATTCAGCAGCCTCTTTGCCCCAATATTACTTTTTACCACTCCTAAACAACCTGTTTAAGGAGAGTTTTGCAGTTATGCAGCACACCTGAAGCTGCTGCTTATGAAAATAGGTACTGGTAAAAAGTAACTTCTTTAACTATAGAGAATAAGGGTTTGTGGATATGGGATAGTGCTACAGCTAGGAAGAGAAAAAGTGTGTGGTAATACCATAAGTGGAAACAATAGCATCAATTGCTAGTGCATTCTAAGGAAACAGGATTGGGGGAGAATGAGCTGGTAAAAGCATGGATCCTGTTTTAAAATAGTCTTTTGCTACTTGTGTGAAGTTGATATATTTTGCAATAACTTACCCAACAAATCAGGGCAGCATATGTGAAGGGTGGGCGGGTCGTGGTATGCCGGTAATAGTCCATGCTGGGGTTTTTCACTGGGGTGACAAAAATAGTTAGTACAAACAATCTATTTTCTGGAGTCTTCCGATCCTGTTTCTTTTCTGCTTTCTTAAAGGCATTTGCTTTCTAAGTATTAGAAATCTAATACTGCTTCTATAGGTGTAAAAGCTGACTCTGACAACTTGTAGCAAGTCTTCAGGTACAGCAAACAAAAATTCACTGTAAGTCTGGAAGCTATGATTAGCTACCTATTGGCTATAACTATCATGCTGAGCAGTCTGGCATAAAGCATGAAAACTTTTGTTTGCCAATGGATTTAGCTGTTAAGTGGCATTAACTCTATATATTGAGCAAATACATTGTTCTTATTTGTATAAAAATCTAGCACACAGATAGATTTCATTCCACTTTACCAGAGTATCGCTGACACTAGAATTCTGAAGCAGAATTTAGGAAGTAGATTTAGCTGTTACCACTCAAAATGGCTCAACTAACTTCCTCCTACACCATTCTGCTTTCTTTATGCTCACTCTTCAGTCTTACACATCCCAGGTGGATTTCTGCAACCCTCCTCCAATTCTATACAAATAACAGACCTTGATCTTCATCCTGATGCAAACTCCTGTAATCTAACATCTGCAATCTAGAAGTGGAATCCTGCCTCCACTCTCCCACAATGCATTTCTCACCTGAATTGCTGTTTACCCCATGGTGGTTGGAGAGACAGATCTCATTCACAAGCTCGCTCCTTGGCCCTTTGGTCTGGGGCAAGATTAGCCCTGATCCATATGGAAGCTGTGAATGGGAGGTTAATGCCAGCTCTGTCCTCATAACATATAGTCTCTGCTTTTCTTGTGCCAGCTGCATCACAGAGCAAAGATAGGAAAGACACAGTTTCTAGATGAACCATCCAGGAAAAAAGCATGCACATTCCCACTCATCCTGCTATTTGACCCCAAATTAAAGGAAATTCTTCATATAGTTAACAACAATGGGGCCCAGAGCTTAGGAACATAAGGGCGCCTTTAAATTGGTGCCTGTGCCTTCATTTGTATTTCCAGTTATTCCATTTTATTCTTCTTTCTAACTTTTTAGGGGTTTGGGGTTTTTTCCCTCTGAATAACCAGTGTAAGCACATTTAAAATATATTTTACTATGAGGGTGGGGGTTCCTGATCTGAGGTTTTTCCCCATTTGGAGGTGATAAGTTTGCAAACCTTAGGGTTGCCCAGAAACTGTTCATATCTATCTCTTATTGCTCTGTTTGGTTATGGAAGTGACATGTCTTGGAGAACTGAATTTGATTTAGATCAGACTGGGTACCCTCCAATTTTATGGGCTTTTATCTCCCAGAATCCCCCAGCCAGCACAGCCAGTAGCTGAGAACTGTGGGAGGTGGTCTGTGCATCTAGAGGCACCCAGGTTGGGTGGGGATGGATTAGTCAGTGGAATGTGACTTACTCTAAGCATGCCCCTTTCTGCCAAGATTACACTTACCCGATCTTCTAATTTGCGCACCAACTCCTCTTGCATTTGCCACTCAGTATTATTTGCTCTGCATTCCCTGTATGTTGCTCTGCAAATGACAATAGCCACAGGCCATCTTCAGCCATATCACCCAATGACCACTTTTTTCAAACCTCGTATAGATCACCGACCCTCAGAGTTCTTTTTTGGTGGTGGTTCTCTGGTGGTGTCTCACTGTTGAGTCACCTGTGCACATTAGGGAGGATGGAGCACAGTAATAGCTACTTTGTGCAGCATACAGACAGCTTGATTGCATTCAACCAGGCAAGTGAAACTGAATCTACTATCCTGTGATTGCTTCTAATCAGTGCCAACTTCAGGCCAGTGAGAGTCCTGAAGAAGCAGTAAGGCAACATTTTGTTTTGCTTGGTGGGTGCAAATAATTGCATTCAACCTAGAATCCTCCTTCAATCCACTAGATCGAGAGACAGGAGTTGTCAGAGTTATCACCAGTCATAGGCTTTCCCTTCAGAGTCGATAATAAAAGTCAGGCATTTCAGGAAGAGGGAGCTGAGAAATTCAGAAGTGAGTCTGAAACAGTTGGGGCTGTCTTTTTATGGTGATGGCTCACACCAGAACTGGGGTTACAGCTCTATATGTTAGGCTGTAGTGAATTCATGAGATTGCAATTATGATTTAGAGGTAGAATCTAACTGAAATTAAAAGAACTTGATTCAAGGCTGGAAATGGAGGCTCTTCCCCCTTTCCCAATCAAATTTATGTGCTGCAAACCTGTGTAGCTATTAAAATAATAGAGCAGAAATGCAGAGGTGTAAAATTCTAACGGGGATAGATAAGATTTTCAGCAGCTGCTAAGACCTGCTTTTGGTATTGTTCAGATCAGATTGCAAAAATAAGCAATGCAATATAAGAATAACTACTCTGTCCATCTAAAATTCATACTATAGCAGTTAATGTTGCTGGTTCCTGAAGTTCTGTTCCTGACCCTCAAGGACAGAGAGGGACCTAATACTTGGAAGATCTGGTGGTAGAGCTTTGGGTGGGGCTCCATGGTAAGAATGTTTGCTTGGCTCGAAGAGGAGCCTGGCTGAATGTGGTGGCTCAGGAATGGAGCCTATTTGGACTTAGGGCACAGCAACAAAACAGTGCTCTCAAGCCAAGTAGGATGCCCCACTGTTGGCCAAGGTATGGATTGGTGCAAAGAGCCAAAATCGCACACATGTCGGGAAACTGCAACCTGTTTATTCTTTACAGCAATAAAGAGGTACTCTCCAGACCCAAGTCACAAATCGAGAGCCCCAATATGTAAATTAGCATAGCCTTTATACATTTGTGAAAACAAAAGCACATGATCATTAGTAAGCAATAGGCAATAAGCAGTAAATTATTCACACCCCTAGTTGGGCAGAGCCCCCACAAGAGGTGGGCCCCTTGCTAAAATATTGCAGCCTCTTCTATCTTTCCCCAGCTGATAAGACTGGTATGTAAGTTCTAGCTAATTTACCTACAACAAAAGGGAGCTGGCCTTGAGTCTAATGCTGCTCTGGGTCAGGATGGGACCAGTTCTTCGATAATGGCAACAACATGATCGTTCCAGGAATTTGCAGTGCAGGGTAAAAGGGCCCCAAGAGGTGCAACCATGAACAAAGATGGACAAAATAGGGTTTCTCTGGCTCAAGTCAGCTGTACCAGCCCATCACCATTCACTGCACAATTTGAGTTATTGTTTTGGACAACCTGGAAACACCCCATAATTTGTACCCTAAGGCTAACTTTTTCATTTAAAAGGCTGTCCCTGCTTTCCCTGAGCAGAGAAGAGGGGCCAAACCAGGCTGGCAGAATCTGATGGGTGAAGGATGGAACTAGGGCATAATCTGGCAGGTAATAACAGCCCAATACAGTCTAGATACTTTTCAGACATGAATTATCTCATACCTCCAGGCTATCTCAACATAGTTTCATTTGTTAAACCATACTGGCTGGTTAGCATCCTAAAAATGTTTAGAAGTCATCTCCAGCATCTTTTTTTTTTTTTAACCTTTGGTGCATATGTGGCATCAGGCCAACATAGTGCCATGTCACTAATGAATGTAACTAGGAAAAGAGCAAGGTTGAGGCAGCAAACTCCGCTCTCCAAATCAGATTATCTCTATGCATGTAAAGTTCTGGTGTATAGTTGGAGACCTTGTTTATGTAGCTCTCTCATTTACATGCGCAACACTTTCATTATTTATTTTATTACGTTATAAAGCCCATCTCTACAAAAGCTCTGGGTGATATGCAGTCAAAGAAATCATAACATACCATTTGAAAACCCTAACTCTGGGGGGGAAACCACCGTGAAAAAAGCAATGCAGCACACAGGACCCAGTACACACTAATCCAAGGCTAGGGCGGGGGAGACTGGTCTTCAGAAGCATGGCCAGGGCAGGGGCCAGACGTATCTCAGGGATGTTGCTCTGGAGGGGAGGTGCTGTGAGAGAGAAGGTGGGCTTCCTAGGTCCCATTAGGTGGCACTCCTTAACGGATGGGACCTTGAGCATGCTAACTCTGCCTGGTCACACAGGCCAAGCAGAAGCCCCTGAAGACTGATGATCCTTTAGGTTTCTATTCATACAGGATCATGCAGATCATTTCTGACTCACCTGCTCCATTCTGGCCTCTTTCAAATGTGTTAGATCACATCTCCCAGAATTCCCTCCCTGTATTTTGGATGAGACTTCTGAAAGCTGTAGTGAAACACATCTGGAAGATGTGGTTTTGGTCGCAGGGCTAGCTGCCTTAATTCCATGTCCTGCCTCTACAGCATATTACTGTACATTAAGTGATTGTGCGATGGGTGAATGAGCAGGTGGAACTAGTAGGTGAATGAGCAGGTGGAACTAGTAGTCTAGAAACCCCTACTGAATAAGCTGAACACAGGGATAGTCAAACACTTCTTTTCTTTCCTGGCAGAGGACAAGATAAAATCGCCACACAGAGATTACTTTCCCTGTACAGAAGCTGAAGATGGACTGGCAACTGAACACTGACAATGGGGCCTTCAGTATTGTGCCTTCAAGTCAGTTTGGACTCCTGGCGACTACCCGGACAAGTCCCTGCAGTTTTCTTGGAAAGGTTTTTGGGAAGTGGTTTGCCGCTGCCTCCTTCCTAGGGCCAAGGGAGAGTGACTGGCCCAAGGTCACCCAGCTGGCTTTGTGCCTAAGGCAGGACTGGAACTCACAGTCTCCCAGTTTCTAGCCTGATGCCATAACCACTACACCAAACTGGCTCTTGCCCAGAGCATACAAAGCAACTCAAATGGTACATTCACCCATTCCCCAAGGATTGCCACTTAGGGCAACTGCCTCAACCTGCCTTGTGGCAGAGTCAGCCTACAATCCTATCTGTAGCATTCATCTTCCCTTGTTCAAAGGATTAGCCAAACCTTCTGAACTCTGAGAAGACTTGTGGCAGTGGACCACATTGCAATGGGAGACAGCAGAACTTCCACTTCAATGTTTCTACAGGCATCCGGGGGGAGGGGGGGATGCTTTTGGTGAAAGAAATAGGCAGGAGTGGTCAGGATGGACTGGCTCACCTTTCCTGGAGTCGGTGCAAGCAAGAGGTGGCATCTGTGGGTAGCTGCTTCCCTTGAAAGTTTTCTTTGGTGAGAGGTGTAGTAAGAACAGCCTGGTGATCCCAGACTTTTTTCCCAGTGTTAATCCCTGAAAGAAATCTGGTTAGAAAGAAGAGGAAGGCAGAGCAGCAGCCCCCAGCAGCAGTGCCCTCTTTTCCCAGCTTCTACTTACGAGGTGCTAAGTCATGGTTTGAGCTTGCTGGCTGGTGATTTGGTGGCAAGATTGATCCAGAAAGTGGCAAGAAAACCTGGGACTGCTGACCACTATCCGCGTGGGTGTTCTGAGGGGATAAAGAAATATGTGGAATAAAAACTGATCATTGGAATTCCAAGCCCCAAACCCTGAAGCGCCTCTATTTTTCTATGGCAAACCAGTGCCTACCCAACTGGCAACTGGAGCCCCGACACATCTGGATTTGTGAAGGCTGTCCAATCGGCATAAGGCAGAGCTCTCCTGAGCCTTTCCCATATATCCGGGGCACACACTCAGGATTCAATTCCAAACCATTTCCTCTACCACTGGATCCGGACAACTCTGTAGTTCAGCCTCTTTTGCTTAACATTTCACAAGGTAAATATCTGCCACATGATGTCCCCAAAAGTATAAGTTTGGTTCACATACCATACTAAGCCACTCTAAAGGGTAATGAGCATGTAGATAGCCCATTAGCTTGTACAGCAGTTCAGTGAATTGTGGGGAGAGTTTTGTGATTTGCTAATAAAATAGAAGTACAAAGTTGTACTCAGTTCTCTTTTGATCCTCTATTATCTGGTGAGCTAAGACCTTATCTTGCACATATTTATGTTCAGAGTGTTAATAACTGGTGCTTTTACATTCATATCTAGCTCTATTTATTAGAAATCGAATATTGCCAAGAAAGGTGGGATTAACAATATTTTCTATAAATTACATGCATACACAAGATCAAGCTACCATCTTTGGAGTACCAGAATTCTAATCTAGAATTTTAGAGAACTTTAAGGCGTTGGCCTAGAAACTGGGAGACTATGGGTTCTAGTCCTGCCTTAGGCACGAAGCCAGCTGGATGACCATGAGCCAGTCACTTTCTCTCAGCCTTAGGAAGGAGGCAATGGCAAACGGTTTCTGAAAAACCTTGCCAAGAAAATTGCAGGGACTAGTCCAGGCAGTCACCAGGAGTCATCAATGACTCGAAGGCACACACACACACACACACACACACACACACACACACACACACACACACACACACACACACACACACACACACACACACACACACACACACACACACACACACACACACACACACACACACACACACACACACACACACACACACACACACACACACACACACACACACACACACACACACACACACACACACACACACACACACACACACACACACACACACACACACACACACACACACACACACACACACACACACAAACAAACTAGAACTTTAGACCTCAGATGATACTGGTTCACATTTTCCCTAGAACTTTTGAAGGAATGGGAATCCTGGAAATTCATGCTGGATTACCACAGCAATTACTGATTGTATTCATATGGCTCAGCATCATCAACAAATGTACCTGGGACTCTTCTGAATACTGGGACCTGGGTTGGCTGTAGTGCTTTGAAATTCCCTGGCATTGATGTAGATCAAGAGTTCTTTTGCCATTAAGTAGGCATACCATGTCTGAGCTGCCAAAATCCAGAAATCTGCTAAAAAGCAGAAAAGAGAGCTTTCTGTTACTACCTAGTGGTTGTCTGGATTTTGGCACCTCAGATATGTCAAGTCTGCTATAATCAGGGCATAATCAAATCCAACTTGACCAATCTAAGGGCAAAGCAACAGAAATGGATGGATAGATTTCTCAGGAATCCTCATCAGCTGCATGCCAGGCCCATCTTCACTGACACATACTATGACTTACTAGTTGCTTATATGATGCAGCACGTATCACCACAGATGGCCGATTCTGGTTAGTTATTCTTAAGCTAGGCTGAAATATCTTCTTGGGGCTTTGTGAGGAGGGTGCCTTGGAGCCAGGCATTGAGAATGGGTAATATCTAGAATAAAATGTAATCAAATTAATACGCATTTCCACCATCTTCTTTCTACATGGTCAAGACCTAAGTTATTCTTAAAAGTGCCTGAAAAAAGGAATGTTAGTAAACTGCTGTGGACTCTTCCTGTCTCTGTCCCTGACAGAAAGTTTAAAAAAAACACAATACTATTCTAGCAGATAAACCAATAGATGCTATTAGCTGGAAAGACGAGAAGGACAAATGTATTTCCATTTTTCTAAAAATAATGTACATGCGCCTTCAACATATGTGGTGCTTTGCAATCTTTCAACTTCCTTGTTATTGTGTCATTCCCAAGGAAGTTAAGCCTTAGTACCTGAAGCATTTGCAAAAGCAGAGGGAAGCTCCATTATAGTTATATGAAATCTGGTATCTACATACAGTCTAAAATTCTCCCCAAACTGGAAAGTGGCACTTCCTATTGCTCTAAAAGGAGTACTCTACAACTTAATCACGAGTGGGTTTTACCCCGAATTCATTAAAAGAGGCCCTATACTGAGATCCTCATAATGTATGCTTATTCGAGAACTGGCCTTTTCAATAAATAATCCTCCAACCCCCAATTCCAGAATAATTTCCACGAAACATCTATCTGGTTCCTATTTCATTATTTTTTCCCCAAACCAATACCTTTTTGTTTTCTTTGGCCTTTTATAGCTTTCATATTTCTGTTGATATATTGTTTAAAACCATGCTTATCTTCACTACATTATTGGATGCTCTTGTAATGCCCATTTCATCATGTGCTGCTTTAAAATGATCACTGCTTTGGGCTAATTCTTTAAACTTTTTAATTTAAAATACCTTTCTGTGGTATGCTACCTTGAAATGTTTGGCAATGAGATCACTAAATACAGTAATTTTAGGAATAAAAATAATCTGGAAAAGAAGAAATGCCTAAGAAATCTGTCCTTTTACATATGTGATTGTCCTATGTTAATTTTTAATACAGACTGTATCATTCAACAAAAGGCATACCAACTTCTAGTTTTAAAGCTATTATCTTCCACTGATGTCTCAAGATGATTCATTGACCGATTATTATTTTTTTTACAAATTCTCAATCTTATTGGCTGGCCATCTTATTTTTATTAGCCCCGCCTACACCCTATTATACTGTATGACATACTGTACAGATAACCAGGAAGATTTTGCAGGAACACATAAAGAGATGAAACAAGCTTTGCGCTGCACAATTTTGCAGTTAGTGTAGTGTAAGAGCATTATGATCTGTTCAACCTGCAATGGAGGACTCAAATTATCTAGGAAAAAAATCTTACTGTTGTCAATAATTTCGTAGAATTTTACTTTTCCCGGAAAGGGGGCAGGACAAAGAAGCTGTTAACCCTTTTCTGCGTAGCCTTCTGAGAGTTATGGGCAGTTTCTCTCACTTGTCTCTCCTTTCAAAGGAAATGACAGCTTAGGCTAACACAGGAAACTGCGAGGCATGCTAGGAGTTGTAGTTTTATTCTGGTTCGTATTTGCATTGTTTTGTTAAGCAGAGTCCGTCTTTCGAAAATAACTCGCTTTAACTGTAGAATAATTATTTTCCCTATTTAAACCAGCTGTGCAGTATAAATTTCAGCCAAACTTGCAATTTCTTAGGCAACTATGTAGCTGCTGTTTTTGCTGTTACCAAACTTCAGAAATCCTGACATAGATGAAATCCAGATTTATTACAAGAAAAAAATTGCTTGATGTCGAATTTGATGCCACCTCTTTGGGGTTTTCAAATTAAGATGGATTTGAAATTCTTGTTAAATTACCATTTTGAACTGCATTGTAAACTATTTTGTTTCATTTTTTAAAAAAATATGGTTTTATTCTTGTTTGGACCCAGAGTTCCTTCTGGTCTGTTGGCCATATAATTTTGTTTAATAAATAAAAACAAATGAGCTGTCCCTAGTTGTCTTGTTCCTTTATATTTTTATCTACAACATAAACCTACTCAAAGAGACTCTAAAACACATACTTTATTGTTACTGACTATGGTTTTGAAACATGCTACACTTCTTTTTCTGAAGAATTCAGCAATCTGCATTTTATTACTAGGATTACTGGTCCGTATAAAGAATATACTGTGCCACAATGGAGAAAACCAGATGCCATAAAAATTCTTCCTAGAAAATAACATCAATAAACAGGAAGCTTGGCAAGTAAAATATCCACGTGCACATGCTTTTAAACATCCATGTGCATTCATCTGAGAAGCTTGCTCCACTTGAGTTTTCTAAATGAGTATGTATAGTTGCTTAATATGTGTGTTTGTCCACATTTTTCCCAACCTTGCATGTTTGCTACAGAAAACTAAGCCTTTTTTTCTCAGTGATCCAAAGGTACCTTAATCAAGGGGATTGATGGACAATGACATATGAATGTGTTTTGCATTGTCAGATGATAAAATAACTTCCCTTCATAGCCAGTGATTATAGGCTAAAGGGCTATCATAGTGCAACCCTCATTTTTAATATACAGTGGAATTCTTTTGAAATAATAAACATCAATCATTAAAATGAATTGTTCACAGGCATACCTCCTGCATGTATACCTGCAGGATTTCTGAATGAAATAACTTTCTAAAATTATTTGTTGCACCTAAATACAGTTTCCAAAAATATGTGAAACTTATTGGTAGGGGGGAAAAAAGCATAATTTTGAAAAGCGAATATACAATGTTCTGGAAGAAGAAATTACCATGAAACAGACAACTCTCCCTCAATAATCAGATCTGCCGCAATGGGTTTATATAAGGATAAATAGGGAAGGAGGAGAAATAACGTCAAAGTAATAGAGAAGTATTCATGGATAAAATATATCTAAGTGTCACTAAGAGTCATCACATTGATGGCACATAATCAATCAAATGTAGAAGTATCAAGTAATACATGATACTATGGTCCCGGCCTTGACACTGTAGTTCCACATGCCTCAAGCAGAAAAATAGGCCATAAAATGTATATTTACATTACTTACTAGGTTTACCATTATTTTATGAATTATTACTTGTCTCTCAAAAAAATTATTTGAAAAAGCTGAAAAGCCTTTGTTAGGGATCGCTCTATACCTTAGGGAACTACAGTAGATTCTAGAACTGACTCAATGACAAATGCAACCGTTAAAAATGTGTATTAAATGTGCGCTTTGCAAACTCAGGGCCCATGTTTATTTCATAGAAATGAGAGGAAAATGTTTCCCCACAATGGGTTGCAAACTACTGACACTTATTCCCCGAGAATGTGCGTCACCAATGGTTGGTAGCATGTATGAGAACTTTCCTATACGTCAAACCAAGTATCGAACCGCTTCTGTGGGGTTAAAAATTCCCCTCTTGGCAGATGGATGAACCAACTTGCACCATGTTCTCAAGTCCACCTAACATGGAACAGGGTCTGTCTGCAGTCTCTACAGATTAGGGTGATCTATAAATATTGTTAAATTTATTTACTAGACTGTGTATGCCACTCAGTCAGAGGGATTCTGAGCAATTTACATTTCCCTCTTATAGTAAGAAGGCTAAAATAAAAGAATAAACAACCATTTACAGCTATGATTGCAATTACAAAAACATTGGCACCTGAAGAGCAAAACAAAAACCTGTTATTCATAACCATTCCATTCCCTGAGCTCTCTTAAAAAGTCACAATTGAATGGCTGTCCTAAAATTAACAGACTGGGAGTTAATCTGATAGGTATGTTCCTCCAAGAAAAGTAGCGGGGGGCTACAACTGAGAAGCCTGGATTCTGTGGCCCCTGAAGATGACAGTCCCTAAGAGAATTCTTCTCTTCTGATCTTCTTGGACAAGCGCAAGCAGAAAGACTTGGGAAAAGACAGGTCATAGAAGTCCATTTAGCAATGTTAACCATCTGTTTTTCAAACTCTTTAATCCCACAGGGTAAAGTATCCCACAGGGGTAAAGAGGTAAAATATCCCATTGAAAAGATTCTTACATGCATGATGTCCATGTTAATCATTACATAATAGAATTAGACAACACTTCCAAGCTAACTGACGTTAAATAATAGACTGAAATTCTGTGTGGAACCATTTTGTTCATGAGATTTCAATAAAACAAACAACTAATATGATTCTTTGTGAGAGTTTTTTTATTTGGGGGGGTTCTATTCATGGGAAAATGATCAACTAATTTTCCATTGTTGTGTCATATACAATGTTCTTTACCATTTAAGTCAAAATATAACCCAGGAATTACAACTCACTGACCATTAAATTTATAGATTAGGCTCAGGGTTGGACTATTTTGCATAAATGCATGTATCCAAAACTTTATGTAATATCACATACAACTATTTTAACAGCTTTGTCAACATAAAAGCACTCAAAATACAGAAGTACGAAGAGCACAGAACAATTACTTTTGTATCTGTATATTTGTATCTCCGCTGCAATTTTTCCCATCCCTAAAACAAGGAAGTCCAGTATCTGAAACTCATTGGGAAAAAGATAGAGTGGAGAGGAAAAGGAAGGCATGTTGCGGATCCCGTCAGCAAGGGAATGTTGGCCTTCTCTGCCATTGCCCCCGCCCTTTGGAATATTCTCCCCTCAGAGGTGCAGCAGGTCCCTACCCGCCCAGCTTTCCGAAAAGATTTAAAGACCTTAGTCTGTCAGTGTGCATGGGGTGATATGGGCTCTATCCGCCCCTGGGGGTAGTTAGCCCCCTGATGATGCTCCCTGGAATTATTTGCCAATTTTCTATCTTCTTGGAATTTATTTATTTTTAGCATACTTTTTATGTTGTATTTTAATGAATTTTTATCTTCTTGTAAACCTCCTAGAGTCATTTCACGAGATGGGCAGTGACAAATTTGATGAATAAATAAAATAAAAATAAAAAATTAAGCAAAAGAGCAAAGGAAAAGGCAAAAGTTAAGCTCCTGTCTCTCATCTACACTTCTGCTCAAAAATTATCCTAATAGGAAATTGATATTTAGGCATTTTTATGAAATGTGTGGTTCTGCTTTTACCATCTCTGTTGCAGTGGTAAAACTGCAAAATCTATTGTCACGGCATTGATCTCCAAAAGTTTGTGGGGCCCTGCAAATATTTCTTACAAAATAGGTCCTGAACTGGTTTAATGTATGAATTCTGTAGACCTGTTTGTGATTTGTGATCCATATAGTTACTGAAATTATTATGTTAAATTATGGCTGAAGTTGAGAAGTTAACTACTGGCCATTGCATAGTTGCAAACAGTTCATGAAGTGGAACTCTTTTCTTGTATCCCCAAATGAGAGATGAACCCAAACTGGCAACATGAGATTGGAAGAATTTTTCTATTTTCTTTTTTGCCAACTATTTATATATCCTAGTTTTGCCTTTCAGATTGCAATGGTTCAGAGGGATAAGGTCTCAGCTGACTGGCATTCCATCATTTTTGGGGGAAGCTTTCTACATTTTTAATGCAAATAGGTAAGACAATTTTACAGTTTCAAAAACAAAAATCTTGTTTTCCACATATATTGTAATATATGTAATATTATCTATAGTGGCACGTATATTTGAACAAGAATGTTGGCTTTCCATTAGAGATAGGTAAATGTTTTGAATAATATATAAACAGAGAAGCATTTTTAGATTTCGTGGCAAATAAGAATTCAGAATTTAAGCAGTTATGGAGAGTGAATTGCTCCAGTGAAACAAAGATTGATTCCTTCCCCCCCCCCCATACTTCAAAGTGCTAGTTGCATATATTGAGTTTTTCATCATGTGAAACTTTCTCTGGTGTTTTCAGTGGAAGGCCAAATTCTCTTTCTTTTATAGGAAAAGAGATGCCTCCATATCTGTTATTATTATGGAGACCCTTTTATGAGAAGTCACAAAGAGTTCTGCTTTCTGTTTTTTCAATCATTGGTTTCATCACTGGCCAGCCAGAGGCTTTTATGAAACTAACAACAAGCAAGACATAAAAATAACACCCTTTATGATGTTTATATTCAGCATCTAATCTTCAGGCATGCTGTCTCCAAACACAAAAATTCCACCCGGCCAAGCTAATAGGTTTGGATAGCTCTGTCCAATTATTTTAAGTA